ATGGACCATGCTTGGTCTGGGGGAGGGGGAGGGGGGCTAGAACATAAACAAAGGTATGAGGAAATTTCTCTCATGTGCGATATTCATGTGCGGAGAAATTACCAACTACTAATTCCGACAGTTAGACGATATTTCTCTCTCGGTTCGCCATAATAGTCTCGTTTTTATTTTGTTTTGCAGTGAAGTTAGTGAGAAGCCGGAGGATTTAAACAATTCTTTTCGAAACATTTCCTCAGCAGGTTTGTTACCTAGTTGGTATACGTTTCAGTGCGTCTTATGGCGCGCGTCTGGAGGCTTTCTTCATTTGCAAGCCCCGGTAAACTTATTTTACGGTAACGTACTTCTCTTGCGTAGTTTCTTTATACGTTTGTTTACTTCTATTTGAGTCGATAATAATTTAATTGAATTTTCTTTAAAAGGATTGAACTTCCCAGTCCATTTTCTTACCATAAGGACATGCCAAGCAATCACTGATACTGGTGCCAGGATGTGCTTCCTCAGAGACAAACGTACCAACGCTACATCTCTTGCAATCAACTTGTCCCATTTGATCTTGATAGAAACCTCCTGTATACGTGAAGAATAAAGCAAAGCTCGGTAGTTCTAGTATACTTCGGCACCAACTAATTTACCAGAAACGAACAAATCTTTTCGTTACGTTCGAGCAGGCGCACCTTCTATCGTTTTTGCCGATATCGTTCGCTATTCCAATGTCAAATTATCAACAAGTACAACTTTGAAGAACGTGTTTTCCTCTTTGAAAAAACCCCCAACCGTTCTTCCAGAAGTTGTCAAGCAACAACTAGGAATATTAACAACAAACACCTTATTTTTGCTTATTTCCTAAAAAGCTGCTTTTTAAATCGATGCTAGCCCGCGAGCAGCCCCTCATTGCCGGCGCTTAATCACGAAGATGTCTTCGCCTGCGAGTAGCTTTAAGACCTTGAGTTGTGCTAGCCGCCGAGAGGTCTGCAAATGGTCTTGCACCGATCACTTACAGACCTCTCGCCGGCTTGCTTTGCTCACAGTCTTAAATTAACTCGCCAGCGAAAAATACTCGTATTGCCAGATTATCTTAATCGATGGCTGTTCTTTCAGTTACCTGCAGGGCACACACGACACGAACCATAAAGGCCATCAATGTCGTTATAGAAACCAGCAGCGCAAAGGCTGCAATTCACACATCGAGAGTCGATTAACTTTCCAGGTTTACAGTGATTGCAAACAAATCCTGAACTTCTAAGGCCACCTGTGTAGTCCACTTCTTCACTGAACACCAACACATAAAATGTCGTGGAAGGAGCACAGTCACTGAGGGAATTACACAAGGAAACAAGGTTAATGAACACTTGATGTACAACAACGAATTAAGAAAGATGGAGAAGGGAAGAAGGTGAGTGTGCTTAATTATGAACGCCAGTTGCATCCTTTTGGCCTTGCACTTTAACGGCACAGCCTGTTTCTCATACTCATCAACTTTCCTTATCTCCCCACGGCCAGTTTCATGATTTGTTCAGGATGAGAGGAAATCAAGTTAGGCATTATATATCTGAATCCAATGTCCTTGCTGATCGATCAAGCTGGAAAAAAGGGCGATGTTATACATAGATCATACATTGAGATCAGTTTATTTTTCCTCATAATGTTTACATCAAATCAGAATACTTGCATTGTCATTGTAGTATATTTCCCTCGGGGAAGTTGGCGAAGTTTCTGACACGTTATGGACCTTAATAAAGTTAACGCAATAATGAATTTTGTGATTTATGATCAGAATGATTTAGACTCAACATTGGTATCTATATCAGCTAATTCAGTCTCTTAAATCTAAGATGTGCTATCTTTATCCCGAGAGTGCCTGGATTTCTTTTAAAAGACCCGGTTCTATCCAAAGATTCCCCGAGGTTTTTCAATAGCAGCTCTACTATACACACATACAGTACAAATATCCTCATGTACGCTTTCCTCTCTCAAATGGAAGGTCTCCAAGAGAATGCCAACAATCACATCTTTACAAAAATGTCGGAATAGTGTTAGTTAGAACAACTATAAAAAGTAAAACAAGGGTGTGACAACAAATCATGATGCGGATAGTCCAGTCAGCTAGTCATTGAAGTTTATCTTCATGTTATACTTACACCGTAGCATTACGCGATATTTCACTGAATAAACCCTCGCGTAAATATTCTATAGGATTATCAAATAGTGTTCTAAAAGAGAAATAACAATGCCTGTAAATGGATAGGTAACGAACTGACATCAAAGCATGGCTTGCCTTATAATGTTACAAGATAATTATGCTCAAGATTTCAAAGTAATCCAAGCTAATTTAATGATTTCCTCGACTAGATTAATCACTTATAAGACAATTTCTTATCAGTATAAGGTACAACATATTTGCCGCCCTGATTTTATTTCGATAAGTTTGTTTAAAAAAAGAATAAGAATAAAATCTAGTGCAACTTTTCTTTCATGTTTTGAAGTACATTCGTTTGCAACTGAGTGCCTTGATTTCAGATGCATCTACGGGCTATGAATGTTTATTAAATAACTGAGATATTGCGAATGCCCTGATCGGTCAAAAATCTATTGTTTATTGCTCCGGTAAATCCATGGTAGTGTTATTTTATAAAAGCACTTAATCAAGAAGATCCCGAGCAGTCAGATTAAAGTGGATGTGACGGCTCCAACTGAGTGAACGGGAATCATCACAAACAAACTATGGATGAAACCGAGAAAGGAAGAAGCTGACTAAGGTGACTGAGCCGAGAGTCCGCACTCAAAGGAACAGTATTCTTCAATGGAGGAACTACTTGTCGCTGAGGAAATCCTCTCTTGCAATGAGATTATATCATTACAACTTACAGAAAGTCAAGGTTGTTAAGTCCACTGAAAGCATTGTCATCTACATGTTCAATGGCATTGCTATGGAGGAATCTGCAGGTAGTTATTAAGTTAGAAATATGTTTTGATGAAGCCCAGGGAACAGTAGGCCAGAGTTATAACTTATATTAATTCTCTGTTATCTTTCGCCTGGGAAATTTAAGTTAAAGGTAACAGAATGACAACAAATAGACAAAGCAGACAATTTCATCTCTTCTTAGAATTACAGAAATTGCTAAATGTTACTACAGTGGTACTGTAGTAAGCGATTAGTAAGGTCAGCGGTTGTCACCAATTTGCCGGGTGACAGCTCAACCACGAGGGCGGTCATGTTTTCGTCTCATCACAAGTGTGATGCGTAGTTTTCCATC